AATCAATAAAGCTTTAATTATTTAAGAGAACTTTATTTCATAAAACTTGCTATGGAATGAAAATAGATGCGTCATGACTTCGGATGCGCTCATAGATTTCTTCTTTTGTGCCACTCTCACAATGTGCCACTCTCACGGGGGCGCCCCCGAACATGCTAAAAAATTGTGCTTTGCAAAATGGCGTAAACGTGAAAGAGGTGCGAAGATGCTGAGTTGCGGTGATCGTAACACAAAGCAGCACAGGGCACAAAGCAATAATTCGAGTGACGTAATCTGATTCAACTCTAAGCAAAATATATTTTATTCACGCTAGATCAAGTAGTTTTCGGTGCTGTCTAGCAGCTTAAAAAGAACGAAGGACGATTGAGAAGGTGCCAAACAAAAACAATAAAAAAGCCCTCCCATCACGTAACGATCACGAAACAAAAACGTAAATGGAGCGAGCGAGAAGGAGCAGAGGGAAGCCCACGGCATAGCGAAGGAAGGAGCGTGTGTGGCGCCGTTTTCCTGGCCCTCCGAGGCGGTGCACCATCTCGCACGACGCTCGGGAATGCGGCGGTTATTAGACGCCGTCGCCGCAGTGTCAGCGTCTTGGACGTGAAGCAAAGCCAGCCATGGTTCTGGTGAGTGTAAACCATCGTCGCCTGAACCACCTGTTGACGCGATCTGTCCCTGGAACCTTTCTTCGTCCCTGCTCTACTTTGACGGCCCAACTAGCGTTGCGGACCAGCGTGAAATCGCGGTTCAGAGGTGGCGGCTGCGAGCTCGCAGCCGCTTGTTTTTTTTCTTATTCACGGGTGTTCCAATGAACCGAGCGAACACGGAACTTATTCGGCCGCGATCGCTGGTAGCGAAGCGACCTTCTCAGAGCCGCGAGCAGTTCGGAGGGATGGCGAATTCCAGCGGCTGGTTCGAGGAATTGATCAACACTTGCTCTAGTTCATACATAGTCCGCGATTTCGCGCTTGCCGAGCCTGTTGCGACATTTGTTGCATTGGGTGCTGCGAACAGGTGCGGTACAGTTTTGTCTGACGTTTGAATCGGCGAGGCGTTGGAAAGTGCGATTCTCAGCTCACGCGCGTACTTTTTTTAATTTTTTTTCGTGACCGTGTGGTACGGCGCTCCGTCGTAGGCGCTTTTGGAGTAGTGTCAAACTGAGCTAGTTCCGCATCCGTTCGGCCTTCGAAAAGCAGTCATGCGCCAAACTACCGCACGTAGAACTTGACGCCTTCTACTTTTCACGGGAGCCTCAATGTCTGAATCAAAGTCCAGTGTATCGTTCATTGATTGTTTCGTGGTAAGCTTGTAGAAGGCAAATATTGTTGAAGCGTACGGCGTAGTGCCGCTGTGCGATGTTTAGCTTGAAGATTTTGGTGGTTGTCATAGGGAAGTCGTGCAATGTTTACAAAATAGTGGACAGAAACTCATCTTGGCTAATTGTTCTTATACCATGCATGTAAGGAAACGCTATATATACTATTACCGAATTCACAAAATCGTATATAGTGCCTTGCTCTTGAGAAGTGTTTTAATAAGAAAGTGCTATTGCTGCATGCACTGTGCACACCTATGACTTGCATCGCTGTCCCGATCTGGTTTTAGTATTATAAGAGTCCTTCAATACCTTTACTGGTCGTGAAGCTTCGCTGCAACTCTATGGGAGAGCTTTGTGCGCTAAGTGGGTACTGTGCACTACAGAGCAGAATCCTGAAAGATTACTAAGAGGGCTCAGGTCAAGTCGAGGACGATGCAGCGAGCAATGGAAAGGAAAATGATAAGTGTAACTCTGAGGAGCAAGAAGAAAGCAGAGTGTGTTGGGGAACAAAAATGTGTTAGGGACATTATAGTCGAAATCGATAAGAAGAAATGGTCGTGGGCAGGGCACGTAGTGGGAATGCAAATTAACCGCAGGTCATTAAGGATCACAGACTGGATTCCAAGAGAAGGCATGTGGGAGAAGGGCAGACAGAAAGTTAGGTGGGCAAATTAGATTGGAAAGTTTCCAGGTGTAAAGCGGCTGCAGCAAGCACAAGACCAAGATCACTGGTGGAAATTTGGAGAGGCCTTTGTCCTGCAGTGGTCGTAGACAGGCTGATGATGATGGGAACAGAATCAGCTCACATATAACAGGGTAAATTGAAGATCACTCGGAGAGGCCTTCGTCCTGCAGTAGACTAAAACAAGCTAGCAGTGACAACGATGAGATCATATGTGGTTCCTATTGCTACTATAGTTATTGCTCCTATGGAAATATTCCAGCTCTTATGCGGGAAGATTGAAGGTCATATTTGTGCTGCATAGTTTGCATGACCTGTCACATTTTGCTTACGTGTGGCAGGGTATATTTCGGCCAGACAGGCCACTGTTTCAAACTAAAGATAAAGGTATGTAGTGATTGGTAATTCTTCATCGACTGTTCTTCGTGTGTCTTCTGGAGTCCCACAGGGAAGCGTGCTAGGGCCACTTTTGTTTTTAATTTATGTTAATGATTTAGCTTCTCTTATTCCTGAAAATGTGTCTGTGCGTTTGTTCGCGGATGATTGCGTCATTTTTAAGCAAATTTCCTCACCGTGTGATCATGTGGCTTTACAAGATGCACTTATCGCTATCGATAACTGGTGTCAGAACGGGGGCATGCAGTTAAACACTAACAAAACTGTGCTTCTGCGCATCACCAGGAAGCTACGTCCTAGTCAATTCCACTATACTCTAAGAGGCACTAACATAAATAATGTAGACAAATATAAGTACTTGGGCGTCACACTCTCAAGCAAATTAACTTGGTCGACCCACATAACTGACATTACCACTTCTGCATTACGTAAGCTATGGTTTCTAAAAAGAAAACTAGCATCTGCACCCTCGCGTACTAAAATTCTAGCCTATAATGCCTGTGTTCGTTCTAAGCTTGAGTATGCTTCTATTATCTGGGATCCGCATACCAAGAAAGATATTATGAATCTGGAACGTATTAACAGAAAGGCTGTAAGGTTTATTTTTGGCAAATATCGTAGGTTTGATTCCCCGACCACCTTAATGCAATTAAACGACATTTCTACTTTAGAAGCTCGGAGAAAGTTCAGTCGTCTTTCCTTTCTTTACAATTGTTTGTGTGGTATTGTAAAAATTGATCTCCCTGACTGTGTTAAACCGCTCTCAGTACGACGTACTCGTCATGGTCATGAACATGCTCTAACCCCAATTTTTGCCCGATCAAATGCTTTTAAATATAGTTTTTTTCCTAGAACTGTCGATGACTGGAATTGTTTGCCGTGTGACTTCTTTCATTATAATACGTTTCTTGGTGACCTTGAGCGTCACCTTCTTTCTTAACCTTTTATTTCTTTTGCATTGTTGTCTGTTGTTTTCTACAATTACGTTTTGATGTATCCACTCCTGCTTGGGCCAGCACATTGGCCTGCAGTATTGTGAAATAAATAAATAAATAAATGAAATAAATAAAAAAGGAAAGTAAGTGCTTTTGATCAAGAATAATATTTGTGTACAAGTGACTACTTCATGGATGGACCAGATCTCCCAATGTGAACATGCCTGATTGGAGAAGGTGCAAAATTGTTTGGCCTGGCAATAAATGGATGCCTCACCAACGTGAAATGGCTTAACTTTTAGTGTTTTACGTTAGGGCTTTTATAGGAAGCTTTTGTTGGTTTCTGTCACCAGTCCTCTATCTTTTACTTATTACCATCATGGACATATTCATCGTTCCTTTGTTGTCCCTTAAACTGCGAGTTTCACTTGGACTAATGGCCAAAATACACCTAGGTTGATGCCTTCACATTCCATCAAAACGCGCTTCTTTATTTACGTAGCATTGCCACAGCAAGTACAGTACTCACAACTAAAGCGTCAATTCACAACTTAGTGAAGCACTTACTTTTTGTTTCCACCGTTATAAGTTTGGGTCATATCGGCAACATTTCCTTTCCAATGCTTGCATCGGAGCTAACATTAGCAGCTTGGTTGCGCATACCAGTAGTCACTATACTAAATGTTTTGGTGTCGTGTTTCAGTATTAACATCTGTGGTTTTATGCCTAGAAACCTCCGTATTGCCATGGGCATTGAACAAGTTTGAGCCAAGCCAATGCGTGTATGTGCCATGGTGACAAAGAGGAAGACTGGGTGATGGGCTTGTGTTTATGGTGATCGGATTGGCTCGACTTCCAGTGCTGCTGCTTCTGTGAACAGACAATGTGTTCTATCCATAATTGTGTGACATTTTCTGGTGGAGGTGCTGTGTAGTGTTTTACACACTGCAATCATCAGGAATATCCGGCACTAGTAACATCTTGGAAGAACCAGCTGACTTATGGTGTAGGCGGTGACAACTAGGCCCACCACCTGAATTTGGGCTCCTTCCACAACTCGACAGAACTATGGCCAGTGCAGGTACGCAAACTCAAGAGACATCGACACTGCCTCTTCCATTGTTCTTCAACGCCCTGCGAACCCCGAAGTCGTTTTACGGTGACCTTACGAGGACGTCGACAACTGGCTTGACGATTAAAACCGTTGCGCCTGTGTCAACAAGTGGAACGAGCCACGAAAGCTTCGGTATGTATACTTTTACCTTGAGGACTCTGCGCGCACTTGGTTCGAAAACCATGAAGTCGCTACGACAACCTGGCCAGAATTTTACACCCAGTTGCAGAATACCTTTCGAAACACTGACCGAAAGGAGCAAGCCTCCTCGATTCCCGAAATCAGTGCCTGAACGAGAGCGTTGCCATGTTCGTTCAGGCGAGCTGACTTCTCAATGATTGAAGAGAAAAAGGTGCGCCTACTGATGCAGGGAGTGAAAGCGCAGCTGTTCGCAGGACTAGTGCCCGATTCTCTCAGCACTGTAGCGGATTTTCTCCACGAAGCCACGATGATGGAGAGAACGCTAAGGCAGCGTTCGTCTCAGTATGAGCGTCCTGGCGGTCTTTCATCAGTGTCACCTGCCCTGGAAACACCGGATGTCAGGCTGTAAGAGACCTCATGGATTTCTTGGGCAGTATTGTGCGCAAGAAGCTACAAAATCTGCACGCGATGTCTCCTCAGCCCCATGTTGCTGCTCTAATGGACGTCATCCGCGAAGAGGTCTGGCAGCTGGTGCAACTCATGATGACCCTGCGTCCAGCCAAAGCTCCGTTAGTAACGTACGCGGAAGCATTACGTACTCCTGCACCAGCTGTCGGCTATCTGTCCTGTCCGTCCACCCTGCAGACGGTGCTGTCGTTCTACTCAGGACCACCGCAAGTACGGCAACCTACCACTTGTACGGTGTGTGGTGTGCTCCCGTCAACCGGCCTCTCTGCTATCACTGCAGTGAACCAGGTCACATTTACTGCGAGTGTGTATACCTGCACATAGGTCTTCCTGGCTTTTGTCTAGATGCTCGTCAACCCAGTGATGGTGAGTGGCCCCGTGCTATTGCCGAGTACTTCGCAAGCCAGTAGTCCCCAACCCTTCTGCGTTGCCGATCCTGCTCGACCTTTGCGAACGTCCTTGCCGGACGATCACCTAGCCACGAGCCCACGCTGGGGAAACTAAGAAAAGCGACCTCTGGGAGCGAAGCCGCTGTTGATCGACCGTTGCAAGACCCTCCAACGAACTGCCTGCCGACATCCTACGACATCCTTTCGCCGACGTATGTCATCGACAACTAACATGCCTGCGCTCGCATCTCCACTCTTGTCAATAACTACCCGGTAACCGCTCTAGTAGACATGCGCGCCGATTATTGCATGATAACCGCTGACCTCGTTGCATAACTGTGAAAGGTAATGGCACCTTGGGGGACATGGACCCAACCTCCGAACTGCAGGAGGCCACCTATTGACACCGCTGGGAACGTGCACCGCATGGCTCCAAATTCGTGAGTCGACATACACTGTTTCTTTCTTCGTATTTCACGAATGCTCTTAAAACCTAATCTCGTGCTGGAGTTTCTCCGCGAGCATCGAGCCATTATTAACCTTCATGACCTGCTCATAAAGTTCTTTGACGACCATAAACCCAGACAAAACAGTACAGCTGCGCAGACCACAACACTTGAATTGCTGACGACATCATCGCACTTCCATTGCGAGCCAAGATGTTGCTAACTATGGAGAACGACTGTGACAACAAGAGTAGTGGTATTCCCGAAACTAACCTCTCGGTGCTCTTGGCTTGGCAAATTTGTGTCGTGCACAGTATCGTCCAACTGAAATGTCGAAGGGCTCATATTTTGATCACGAGTTTCAGCGGTGACTACCAACACTTGGCAAAGCGAACAGGGATTGAGAGCTTCGAAGCCATTGATGACGAAGCATGTTCTACTACTGCTCCGATTGCCACTGTCGTTGAAGTGACATTGCATTGGCCAGTACAGTTGACGGGGATTGCCAGCTATCCTCTGCGCAGCAGGAGCAGATACTGATGATTTTACGAACGTATCGTGACTGCTTTGCGTCCACTTCCAAAATCAGGCAGACCTCAACTGTTGAAGCACCGCATTATAATGGACCCTACTGAACGCCCTGTACGACAGCATGCCTACCATGTGTTGCAAAAAAAAAAAAAAACAAAAGTGATACATTCTCAGGGGAAACTGATGCTCGACAATGACGTCGTCCAACCCTTGAACAGTCCATGGGCATGGCCTGTCGTACTTGTTAAAAAGAAAGACAGCACTTTTTTATTTGGCAGGGATTACTGGAAACTCAACGAACTGATCAAGAAAGATGTCTACCCTCTCCCACGCATAGATGATTCACTGTATTGATTTCGAAATGCCAATATTTTTCATCAATGGATTTGCGCAGCGGCTTCTGGCAGATCGAGGTCAATGAACGCGACAGGAAAAAAACAGCGTTCATAACTCCCGATGGTCTCTACAAATTTAAAGTGCTACCGTTTGAATTGTGCTCTGCACCGGCTACGTTCCAAAGGATGATAGACACCGTGACGTCCTATCTGATGTGGGAATCCCGCCTCGTCTATATAGACAGCTTCGTTGCTTTTTCCTAAACATTTGAACAACATTTACAGTGACTTCAGTCCGTCTTCATTGCTATTCGATCCGCAGGCCTATCACTAAAACCAGAGAAGTGTTATTTCAGCTTTGAAGAACTAATATATATATATATATATATATTAGTTCTTCAAAGCTGAAATAACACTTCTCTGGTTTTAGTGATAGGCCTGCGGATATATATATATATATATATATATATATATATATATATATATACCTCAGATCGTTTGTTTGAAAAAATAACAACAAAAAAAATACGGGGAGCATGTGGGTGGGGCCCCCCTATTCCAGGGTTCCACTGGCCTTAGCGGCCCGCTGCGCCTGGCCGAGGAGCGCTAGTTGCAGTCCCAGATCCTCGCTGGCGAGCAATGTCTCCCACTGCTCCCTTGCGGAAATTTTGCCGGCTATTTGCGGCGAGTTAATTTCAGTTGGCCATTTCCGAAAATCCCACGTTATGTGGGCGAGAGTGGGCCTGCCTCCGCACCACGGACAACTATCGCTGTACATCGCAGGGTGAATGGCGTGCTTCAACAAAATATTTGGATATGTGTTTATTTGTATACGGCGCCAGCCATAAGAATTCCGGCCGGGTAAAGCTGTGTGTGGTACACTGTACCTTCGTCGCTCAAGCCGTTGGTTCTCAAGAATATCTCGCGGTAAAAAGGGGCTGTCGTCGGAGTGGTAGGCCGCTCGGTTGGTTAAAGCACGAGCTGCGCCGTCTGCTCTCTCATTGCCATCGAGTCCTGCGTGACCCGGGCACTAGATGATAGCATGGTCCTGCGTTAGGTCCGGTCCTAATAGGCGAATGGTGTTGTGTGGTAGTCTGCCCGTGAGAAAGAGTCTACATGCGACCATGGAATCGGTGAGAACAAGGGTCGATCGTCCCAGAACATCTTTAGCTTTAATTGCAAGCGCAACAGCTAAAGCCTCAGCGTTATTCGCCGACGCGGCTCGTGCCGTGGCGCAAGTCAAAAGGCATTGACCCGGGGCCGCTCTTACGACTGCGAGCGCGTACTTGTTCGTGCCGCATAGGGTGACATCTGTGTACACCGTGTCCGGATTGTTCCCGAATTGCTGCTGTAACTTGCGAGGTCGTGCACTCCTACGACCTTTGTGATATCAGGGGCCCATGTTTTTTGGGATCATCATCATCATCAGCCTGACTACGTCCACTGCAGGACAAAGGCCTCTCCCATGTTCCGCCAGTTAACCCGGTCCTGTTCTTGCTGCTGCCAATTTATACCCGCCAACTTCTTAATCTCGTCTGCCCACCTAACCTTCTGTCTCCCCCTAACCCGCTTCCCTTCTCTGGGAATCCAGTTAGTTACCCTTAATGACCAGCGGTTATCCTGTCTACGCGCTACATGCCCGGCCCATGTCCATTTCCTCTTCTTTATTTCAACTATGATATCCTTAACCCCCGTTTGTCCCCTAATCCACTCTGCTCTCTTCTTGTCTCTTAAGGTTACACCTACCATTTTTCTTTCCATTGCTCGCTGCGTCGTCCTCAATTTAAGCTGAACCCTCTTTGTAAGTCTCCAGGTTTCTGCTCCGTAGCTAAGTACCGGCAAGATACAGCTGTTATATACCTTCCTCTTGAGGGATAGTGGCAATCTACCTGTCATAATTTGAGAGTGCTTGCCGAATGTACTCCACCCCATCCTTATTCTTCTAGTTACTTCAATCTCGTGGTTAGGCTCTGCGGTTATTACCTGCCCTAAGTAGACATAGTCTTTTACAACTTCAAGTGCACTATTACCTATCTCGAAGCGCTGCTCCTTTCCGAGGTTGTTGTACATTACTTTCGTTTTCTGCAGATTAATTTTAAGACCCACCTTTCTGCTCTCCTTGTCTAACTCCGTAATCATGAGTTGCAATTCGTCCCCTGAGTTACTCAGCAATGCAATGTCTTCGGCGAAGCGCAGGTTACTAAGGTATTCTCCATTAACTCTTATCCCTATCTGTTCCCATTCTAGGCTTCTGAAAACCTCCTGTAAGCACGCGGTAAATAGCATTGGGGAGATTGTGTCCCCCTGCCTTACACCCTTCTTGATTGGTATTCGTTGCTTGCTTTATGAAGCACTATGGTATCAGTTGATCCCCTGTAGATTTCTTCCAGAATGTTTATATATACTTCATCTACGCCCTGATTCCGCAGTGTCTGCATGACGGCTGATATTTCTACTGAATCAAATGCCTTCTCGTAATCTATGAAGGCTATGTATAGTGGTTGGTTATACTCTGAGCATTTCTCTATTACCTGATTGATAGTATGAATGTGGTCAATTGTTGAGTAGCCTGTTCGAAATCCTGCTTGTTCCTTTGGTTGATTGAATTCTAATGTTTTCTTTACTCTGTTAGCAATTACCTTTGTAAATAGCTTGTATACTACAGAGAGCAAGCTGATCGGCCTGTAATTCTTCAAGTCCTTGTCATCTCCTTTCTTATGTATTAAGACGATGTTAGCGTTCTTCCAAGACTCTGGTACTCTTCTCGTCAGGAGACACCTCGTAAACAGGGTGGCTAGTTTTTCTAACACAATCTGTCCTCCATCTTTCAGCAGATCTGATGTTACCTGACCCTCACCAGCAGCTTTGCCTCTTTGCATGCTCTCCAAAGCTTTTCTGACTTCTTCTATCATTACTGGTGGGGTGTCATCTGGGTTACTGCTAGTTCTTATAGTATTTGCTAGTTTATAGTATTTGCTAGTTTTTAGTAGTTAGGTTACTGCTAGTTTTATAGTATAGTAATATAGCATATAGTTTTTGGGATAGGTGATACTAGAATGTTTTCACGTAGCTGTTTAGCCATGGACTCCAGTTCCTCTCCCGCATACTGAGGACAAGCTGGGTAACCTACATGGAGTAGCAATTTTCTCCCAGGAGTAGTTACGTTAAGCCTTCTCCCGTTGAGAAATGATCACCGCTGCGCGTGACTCCTCATAATGATTGTGTATACCAAGGGCTTCGAGACGTTCTGTGGACGTCCCAAGTGGTAGGCCGAGAGCCTGCCTTGTACGATGTTCTTATCAACGCATCTAGGGCCTTTAAATCGGTTTTGTTAATCTCCTGGAAAGGAAGACTATATGTTAGCCGACTGAGGACAAAAGCCTGAAGCAGCCGGAGCGTCTCAGCTTCCTTGAAACCTTTTCGGTGATAGGTGACTTTATAAATCATACGGGAGATCTGCTTCACCGTTGTTCTGAGGGTTTTTATTGTGTGGTCCACTCGCTTGTTGCTTTGTAGCCACAGTCCGAGGACTCGCATTTTCTGTACCTCTTTTATCTTGTGGTCTCCTAAAAAGTGGTTGACCGGCTCGTGAATGCGGCGGCCTCTACCTCGGATTCTAATAAATTCACATTTATCGGGAGCACAGCTCATTCCGCTCTGATAAG